ACAAGACCTCCCTCATCCTTGGCCCTATCTCAGAGAATTTATAGAAATAGTTGAAAAATTGAGCTTTCAATTCATATAGTGGCATCTGGCTGTTTTTTATTAAAGGTTACTTTATACTTTTATACTTTAAGTAGTTTTTGGAGCACATACTTTTTCACTTTTACTGGAGTAAAGAGGTCAAGTTGATACTTCAACTTTTACCAGAGTGTTTTTAAACTGCAGTATCTATACTTCTACTGAAGTAATAAATGTGTGAACTTTTGACACCACTGCATTTCAGTGAATAAAGAGCATGAAGGGAAAAAAAATTTGTTTTTTTTCCGAATTCTGTTGCATCCTGAAAACTTTTTAAAGTATTTTCAGAGGAAACGACATTTCTGTTGCAGAACCGTCACAGATACATGCAAAAAGCATCGTCTTTATAACCTTATTAATATATATATATATATATATATTAATAAGGTTATAAAGACTCCTAAAGCTTTGCAGCAACATTCCCACAGCAGGAAGAAAAACAACTTTGAGAGGTAAAGTTGCATGAGGATCTGTGCAGCTGTGCAGAAATGTTTCTGAGCATAGATGATAAGAAAACAACAAGTCAATAACTTCCTTTTATTTCTGGAGGAATTCATGGATTGATTGGATACTTTTATGTTTCAGAAATTCTTTAAACTCTTCAGAAAATGCAAAGAAAAAATCATATTTAATGCTTTTTGTTAACCTGAAGCTATTTCTTTTCTTTAAATCAAAGAATTTTACAAACTATTTGTTGGTCGATATTTGTAATCTCCTGTTAGCTGAACTTTTATCTGGACTGAAAAAAGAAAGAAACCTGCATAGAGATCATTGATGGTCAAAGATGCTTTCCTGCAAAAAAAAAGCAGGAATGGTGAATATTTCTGTATCACCGGAGCTTTGTTCCTTCCCCACCCATCCCTACCTCTCCGACTCGTGTCCTCAGATGGCTTTTGGCCTACTTTGGGCTGCAGCGTGTGAGCCAGAATGTCAGGCTGGATTTTAAGGCCGAGCGTGTGAGCTGGGACAAAAAGCACGACACGCAGACATGATTCCTCTGAGTGCTTCCTTCCCTCATTTCTTCTGTTAAAGCTGAAAAAAAATGTGCAGAAAGGTCCAGAGCTGCAAACGTTCTCCTCTCCAACCTGAAGTTCATCATCATCAGAGCATCATTTCATTTCAAATAAAACAAAATGATTTAATATAACTAAGACAACTTATAAAGAGGAATGAGAGGAAGCAATAATGAAGAAACTATTTGTTAATTGAAATAGAGAAAAAAAAATCATCCATTTTCTAAAAATAGGTTTATTTGTTTATTAAATTAGCATCATAAAAATTCTCTAAAATTGAAACCTAGATAAGTAATTTCTTCTTAAAATAAATGCATTTGTTTTTGGATTGAGGAGGTAAAAGAGACATTTTGCCAATAGAACAAGATCATTTACATTTAAAATAAGAAAACACAACTGCATTGTCGTATTTCAAGTGCATTTTATCTAATTATCTTATTTTAACTGACAAACTATCTCATTTACCTACTCAAATTACGGGTAAATATACTTAATTTAAGGAATTTTTACTCATTTCTAGATATTTTTTTCCAGTTTCTAAGTAACAAAGATGGATAAACATTTCTAAATCAGAAGAATAAAAAAGGATTCATAGCTCTCTAATTAGTATTTAAAATCAGACGCGTCAACTAACAAAGTACAAATACTTCAATACTTAAGTAGAACTCTTGTGTATTTATACTTTACTGCAGTAATTATTTTTTAGACAACTTTTTCCTTCCTTAAATTTTAGAAATAGACTCACTAGTTTGTTTCATTTAAGCTCATTTTTTTATGGCCTGTTGGTATTTAAAAAAATAAAAAGCATCAAAATAATTAGTTTCATCCAGACAATTAATTTCTTTGTGGTTGGACTCGGTGCTGCCCCAACTTGTTGCTCACCACAAACCAAAATAAATAGTTTTTCAAGATGATGCAACCTTTAGTTATAAAACTAAGAGAATAAAGTCTAAGGAAGTTATCATCCGGAATGATAGAAAATGTTCCTTTAATAGAGTAGAGCAGTAAAGCTGCTGGCTTTAACAGTTTTACCTTCATTACTTTTATACTTTAAGTAGTTTTAAAAATGCTACTTTTACTGATTTACTGGAGTAAAAAGTTGAAGTTGATCCTCTAACTTCTACTAAAGTGTTTTTAAAAAGCAGGATTTATTCTGCAGGAATAAAGATGAATTCTTTGGACGCCTCTGATTAAAATGAATCTTTATTTATCTTCTGACTTAAGTTACATCTGAACTTTTTATGTTCAGAAAACTAACAGATTTTTAGTATTAAAGCAGAACCGTATGACCTCATTAATTCAAACCTCAAACAATAGTTTGTAGTTTTATCTCAATAAACTCAATATTCCAAAGTCTCAAGGATTCTAATGAAATGAGAAATTAATGAATTCAGTAAAAATGTCATTTTAAAAGGAAAGTATTTTAAGAAAGTTTATTAAGAGGCAATTTTACTCATAGAAATCAAAAATGTTTACTGGTCCAACATTCACACATTAGAAGAAGATAAATGAAAGATTTTGTAATCTATCAAACTGCCACATATTGGACGAGCAAATCTGTGGGATTCATAAAAAACAAGCAAAAGAAAAGAAAATAGGAGAAAATAATAAATTTCGCCTTTTCTATTTTTAATCTTCTTCAGTGCTAACTTTTTACTTGTTGTTCTGTTTTTATGTTTTTGTCCAAAATCTGTCTGAAAACGTTGATGAAGCTCTGGAGATGTTTACTGCAAAAAATAAAAATCTAAATAATTAATTTCTTTCTTAACATAAGTGAATTTTTTTTTTTCTTGAATTGAGGAGGTAAATGAGACACTTTGCCAATGCAAAAATACAATTTACATTTAAAATTAGAAAAAACAATTCCATTCTCATTTCAATCTAATTATCTTATTTTAAGAGTAAAAAATCTCATTTGCAATCATCTTATTTACCTGCTTAAATTAACGGGAAAATACACTTAAATTAAGAATTTTTTATCTATTTCTAGAAGTGTTTTGCAGTGTGAGGTTGAAGTTTTTTGGAGCCTTTGGTTGAAGTTCAAAGGTCGTCATCATTGCATCATTCCAGCGTCTAATTTTAAAAGCAGACAGAAAAAGCTGAGCTAAAAATAAATGCATTCCTAGAATAAGTCGGTTTGCTCTGAACATAAACGGCTAAACGAGACGAGCTTCCAATGAAACGAGATCATTAGATAATAGAAACTTACAATAGGATGATTGAGTCATTTTAAATCTTTATTTCATTTATTCTTTCTTGCTCAAATTAAGGGAAAATAAATTTATTTCAGGAAAACATTTCTTACTTATATTTCAGTGTTTGCGGAGCAGAAATTCCCATCAAGCTGCTAAATAATGTGGTTTAGATTTTAATGAAAAGTTCTCCTTTGTTTGTGGTGAAGATGCTAAAGGGGATGGGATCTGAGACACACTGCAAAAACAATCTAGAACTAAAACTAAATTGCTTTTTGTTGTTTTAAGTGTAAATCATCTTGTTCCATCGGCAAAGTTTCTCACTTACTGTACCTCATAAATTCAAGAACAAAATTTAAATTTAAGAAAAAATGACTAATTTCGTTTTCCTGTGCTGGATGGGATCTGAGACACACTTAGCAGTTTTAAGCAAACTAACACTGGAAAAACCATCTAGAAAAAAGTAAAAAAATATATCTTAATTTAAGTGTATTTACCCTTAATTTAAGTAGGTAAATGAGATCGTTTGTCAATGGAATATTTTTTACTCTTAAAATAAGATATTTAGATAAAATACACTTGAAATAAGACAATGCAATGTTTATTCTTGCTTTAAAAGTAAATTGTTTTGTTCCATCGGCAAAATGTCTCTTTTATCTCCTCAATTCAAGAACAAATGCACTTTTTTAAGAAAAAATGACTAATTTAGATTTAGATTTTTTTCCAGTGCAGAATCTCTGCACATCTTAACAGCTAACATTTTAATCTTCATATAGAAACAAACAAACTGATAATATAATAATAACGGTTGAATCAAATAATGAAAAAGAGCAAAACTGTAAAAACTTTATGAATTTTGGGTTGAATGTTGATTGATTTATTAAAGAAATAAGACACCAGAAGTTTGGAAGTATTTTATTGACATGAGAGAATTTCACAGACATTCCTGGAAACCAGCGTGTTTATTTAAAGTGCGATCAGTGTGTGTGTGTGTGTGTGTGTGTGTGTTCATAGGGCAGCTAAGACTTGCTGTCATTTTTTAATCCGTCTCGGGTTCCTGGACCGTTTCAACATGTTCTCATCCCGTCTGATCATCTGAAACACACAGAAACACAAACTTCAACCAAACGATTCTTCTTTCTGCCGTCGGTTCATCAGCAGATCTGCTCGCTAACACAAAACCTTTTCCCTAAAGGCAACTTTTTATCTACAAACTTAAAAAATATGATTTCATTCATCGAAAAAAAATGTATTCAGACTACCTGTGTTTTATTTTGTTTATTAATTAACACCGTGAAGAAGAAACAAAACAAAAATAAATAAAGCTAATAAAAACAGAAAAAAAGTTGAAATAAATGAAGTAGAATTTATTTTATTGAATTCATTCCGATGTTTTTTAGTATAGTTTCATAATAAATAAATGCGCATTGCACCTAATTGGACAGGATATTTCCAACATGGACTAATATTAGCATCTGCTTAGCTTTAGAATAAGAATAATAAATAAACCACAAAAGAAAACAGATATCAATAAAACATTGTCATTTATTTTATGTCTGGACCTGTTTGGAGACAGAATATCTCTGACTTTAGCTTTTAGCAACTCTTTGGTATCTGGAGAACATTTATCTTTAAATCTACTTTAATAATAAAACGTTAAAATCATGTTTTGTTTTGTAAAAATGCAGCAAAGCAGAAACTGTCATCTTCACGTCCAAAGCCTGCGGTGACGTCTTCATACGGGGCATCGAGTCCTTTGTTGTCAAAGATGAGATGCTTTGATAGATCAGACACACTCACACACACACACGCTGCAAATAATCCATCTCTCCTTATCCTTCCTTTAAAAGGTATAAAAATACCTCCCCAGATCAAACATATTTCCTTTTTCAAAAGCACCAAATATCAGAGAATCTAATAATAAGTTTGACACTTGAAGGAATTATTAACGGATGTCGTTTTATTTAGATCCGGCGGCGACATCCCAACCCGAGGCGCCTGATTGGAGCGTGGCGGCATCACGTACTCCAGCATCTCATGTCCAACATTCTAACTACAATTTCTAGATTTATTTAAAAATAATCTAAATTGCTTCAATAGTATTTATCTGTTGGTTCCAGTTGTGAAAGAATGTGAAAAATCATCTGGACTAAAATAAACCATTTTAAAAACACTTGTGACATCACTCTGCTGGGTAACCATCCAAAAAGCAGCTTCTAATATTTTAGTTTTAAGCAGACTGATCCAGTTATGGTCAATAAGTAAACGTTTCTTACATTAAGTGCATTTAGCCTTAATTTGACCAGGATTTTTCAATAGAATGAATATATCTACTCATAAAATACGATAATTCGATCAAATGCACTTGAAATAAGACAATGCAATTGCTTTTCTTTATTTTAAATATAAATAGTCCTGTTCTATTGGTGTCTCACTGACCTCCTCAATTAAACAAACAATTCCCTTATTTTAAGATACAAACGATTTATTTAACTTTCATTTGTTTGCATTTCAAAAGCAGTGCACTGCAAAAACTCTAAGAATCTAAGTAAGTCATTTTTTCTTAACATTTTCTGGAATGGAGCAGTTAAATGAGACACATTGCCAATGGAATGAGATTATTTACATTTAAAGCAGCTGGAGTCTTTGATTTCAGTGCATATTATCTAATCATTTTATTTTAAGAGCAAATATCTAATTTAACTGTTCAAATTAAGGGTAAATACGCTTAATTTAAGAAATTTTTACTCATTTTCAGAATGTTTTTGCAGTGTAACAGGGGTTTTCCATTAATCCCAGAAAGACAAACTGGTTTTAGCTCCACCTCGGCTTTACTGGCTAACAATGTGGGACACATCCAGGCCTGGAAAGTTCATATTTACAGCATAACTACAAGTTTTTAGGCAAGCTGTTTCCTGTTTGGTCTCGAGATCGGACCTTCCTCTGACAGGAGCAATGAATCTAAATCCTTATTGGACTGAACTGTGTTTGAAAATGTGCCAAATTAAAGAGGATATCAATACTGTATTCAAACTGGAGGCTCCTTCATGGCATTTATTCTATAATGGGAACAGATGTGAAATGAACTGAAATGAATTGGACCAAACAAACATTTAGTGACCTGAACTGAACCAATTTAAACTCAGTAACTTAAAGTTTAACCAGAACTAAACTAAACTTCCCCAAATTAAATCAACTTAAATCATCCTCTCATTAATTAGAGACGAAATAAACTGATTTCAATCTACGATTGCAGCTAAAGAGATAAAGCTGAACTAAATTTAAAAAAGTAAATTTAAGTAAAACCAAACTTCGAACTCATTTCAATTCTATTCAGTTTATTTCTATAGCTCCAATTCACATCATGTCATCT